CTTAAGAGAGCATCCTCCATGACTGCTGAAGGGTAACTGCCGCGTGATCTCACCTGCCACGTCCCAGGATTCCCCCAGTCAGCTAGTTGCCAAGACGCCTTTTCTTGGAAACTTTTTATTTTATGTGAAAAAGTAATGAATTAGTTTTTCTGTGAATGATTAACACATGGTTGTTCTTAATATAGACAATTGTACTATAATTATCTATAATAACTAGAGCTTGACATTATACAAGTATTAAATAAGTAAGAACTTAATTAAAGGTCTTTCAGTTAGCCCACCATATATTAGTGTTTTAAAGGTGATATTACAGGTGATCTATAATACTTAAGAGATATTATAATTTTCAAATATATTTACAAGGTGATATAGCATATTTATCACCTCTGTGCGTGAAGGCAAAGACCATTACCCTTACAATACACGGACCTTATTTCTCCTTAATTTGTCCATTAACCATTCAACTGACCACTAAATTAACCAAACAAAACCTTAATTACCAACCCTATAACTCTTAACAACCCTGTGACTTAACGATCCAACCACCAAACGACCAGCTTAACTACACCAATAACTCAACCATCTCGCTACTGTATATAAACACACCCCGATTAACTTAACGATCGAACTACCAAACGACCACCAAAATCAAGAGAGGGGAATAATACTAAATGAGACGGATAATTGAGGGGAAATACACCTTGACCAACCTGTGCTATAGACTCTCATTAAAGCCTCACTAAGGGGGGGGGAGGGGCGAGGAGGAGGGGTTAGAGGGACGAGGAGGCTTAGTGAGGGGATGAGGAGGGATTAGGGGTTAGGAGGAGGCGAGGAGGGGTTAGGAGGGACGAGGAGGGAGGTTAGGAGGGGACGAGGAGGGGTTAGGAGGAGGCGAGGAGGGGTTAGGAGGGACGAGGAGGGGTTAGGAGAGGGGAAGTAAATAGGAAATGAAATGGAAAAGGTAAAGGGTGAGAAGATGAGAAAGTGAAGGAAAAGAGGGTAAAGGGGTATGGATGGAACAGAGGAAAGGAAGAGGGAGAGGGAAGAGAAGGAGAGGAGGAGAGAGAGAAGGAAGGGGCTAGTGAATACAAGAGGCAGAGGCAAGTAAAGAGTACACGAACCAGAGGCTACTATTAACCTATTGATTCACCATAAAACACAACTACTGAATAAATGGTCACTTCCACCTGCTGCGGGGGGGCTCACAGACTCATAAATACTCACCTAGCGACACTTACTCACACGGAGCTAATACGCTGAGCTGGCCTCACTAACTCCACTGATAATTAGTTTGTGAGTACACACACACACACACACACACACGGTGAATATGAGTCATTACTCCGTTACTCATAATACTATAGACTCATAAACTCATACATACTCAACAAAAAAACACTTTATATGGATCTAACCAGCTCACTAACTATACACACAAACATTGAAGGGATTTATAGCTACTCATAAAGCAGCCCAAAGGAGTTTCTATTGACTCACAACTCCTTCACGAGAGGTCCATCATGGCTCACCAGTCCCCCCCAACACTTACTAAACCAGCTTCAAAATATATACTTCAAAACCGCTCCTCGCTTCATTTGTCGTGTTGTGCTCACAAGAGAGTTAAACATTCAGAGGACATGACTCACAGCTCATACGGGAGGACCAGCCAAGCGGGAGCCGGTCCTAATAGTTTGGGGAGCCAATGGTCCTAACAATTTTGTGAGGGGGACTAAATAGTTAGGTTAGGTTAGGTTAGGTTAGGATCTATTTCACCTGAAAACTCACGCTACCTGAGGTGTTCACAAGAGACTCACAAGCCTAGGTCATAAACCACGCCAAGGACCTGTCAGTACTCACACGGGTCACTGAACGAGATATTGTTGTTGATATTAGGGCGGTTAGTCAACTGGCCGTACTTGACACACTGACAAGATCGTGACGGAGACAAACTGTGTGAGCAACTGAGCAATAACCCAAACAGATCCTCTAACCTAACCTAACCCAAACAGGCCCCAAACCTAACCTAACCAGCGGAATTAGGACTCTATCCAAAACAAATCTCAGTCTTATTTGGCCTCAGCCTAACCTAACCATTAAGACTGGTGCCCCTTGGGACATACAGTAGTATAGGACTGGGGACCAATAATCAGTCAACTCAGTGTTAAACCTCGGTGGATTCTTCACGTCAACAGTTAACAGTCACACAGTTCATCATCAGTAATATGAACATTTGTAGTAATTCAGAAATGGGTGGGAGCTGTAGCGTTAATTAAGATGTTTTAATTATATACCGACATTAATTATAAGTAATATCAAGATCAACAACAACAATAATAATAATAATAATAATAATAATAATAATAATAATAATAATAATAATAATAATAATAATAATAATAATAATAATAATAATAATTCCAAGTTATATTGTTATCATATCTACTTTTTACATATTTTGAAATATTACCTAAACTTGTAGTGTTAGTGTTAATGATATTATTATCTGTGTCTACATAATGTAAAATGTTAGGGTGGGAAGGAGGAAGGAGAGAGAGTTGAGACAGTACCGTACAGCAGTAGTTGAAGTACAGTAGTCAAGGAAAGCTGTCCTGTTGTAGTTACAGGACAAGTGTTGCTGGGATTTAAATTCGAGTCATGAATTATAAGTGAGTGGGCAGGCGAATTGTGTGTGTGTGTGTGTGTGTGTGTGTGTGCATGTGTACCGTTCAACAACAATGTTACCCCAACTACGGTGGTGCCGGGATCCAATGAATGGTCAACCGGAGAGCTTTTTCCCACTGAGTGATTGTTCGTTTATTACAGGGAGTTCTGCGTCCCACTGAATAAAATGCGTTTATCACTCGGGGATACCGTGTCCACCTGAATGTTCCCTGACAATAGGCGCCTAACAGTAATACTCCCTGGTCACAACAATGATAACGAAGACCTGCCACACATACACGGGGAAGGGGAGGAGGTAGTGTGATAGAGGAGGAGGAGGAGGTAGTAATAAAGAGGGAACAGGAGGAAGAGGAAATGATGGAGAGAGAGGAAGAGGAAGAGATAAAGAGGGAGCAGGAGGAAGAGGAAGAGATAAAGAAGAAGAAAGAGGAATAGAAGTGATAATGAAGAAGGAGGAGGATGAGAAAGTGATAGAGACGAAGGAAGAAGAAAAGTGGTAAAGAAGAAAGGAAGAAAGAGGAGGAGGAGGATACACGTTTATCAACATGTACGTCAAGGCACCACATAGGAATAACCTAACCTAACCTAACCCCCTAACCTAACCTAACCTAACCTAACCTAACCTAACCTACCTATATCGACAAACACACATGTACTCATAATTTTCTAAAACAATTCATAAATTCACCAAACAATATTATTAAAAAAAAAGCAGAATTGTAAAAATATACAAGTTTTACACATAAACACGCAACCAGAAGCAAAAATAAAAAAGAAAAAAAGAAATTCAGTATTGCCTCTGTGTGTGTGTGTTTGTGTGTGTGTGTGTGTGTGTGTGTGTGTGTGTGTGTGTGTGTGTCTCGGGGGCTTTAGCTTAGATCAAGTTCTATCGGTTTAACATTCATATAGTCAAGATCTGTCGGTTTAACATTAACATAGGTCAAGTTCTATCGGTTTAACATTAGCATAGGTCAAGTTCTGTCGGTTTAACATTAGCATAGGTCACGTTCTATCGGTTTAACATTAGCATAGGTCAAGTTCTGTCGGTTTAACATTAGCATAGGTCACGTTCTATCGGTTTAACATTAGCATAGGTCACGTTCCATCGGTTTAACATTAACATAGGTCACGTTCTATCGGTTTAACATCGCATAGGTCACGTTCCATCGGTTTAACATTAACATAGGTCACGTTCTATCGGTTTAACATTAACATAGGTCACGTTCTATCGGTTTAACATCGCATAGGTCAAGTTCCATCGGTTTAACATTAGCATAGGTCACGTTCTATCGGTTTAACATCGCATAGGTCAAGTTCTGTCGGTTTAACATTAGCATAGGTCACGTTCCATCGGTTTAACATTAGCATAGGTCACGTTCCATCGGTTTAACATTAACATAGGTCACGTTCTATCGGTTTAACATCGCATAGGTCAAGTTCTGTTAGTTTAGATTACGTGTTGTGTTGTATTCACCAGTTTGTTTCACACATCAACAAGGCAGTAATGGGCGCCTCTAGACCACAGTACCTTGGTGATATGTGCGTGTGACAGATGGCGTAACTTAACATGTCACACTCATAATGAAGTGGAAATGTTACATGGCCTTACGATACAACACTGTAGTGACTTTATGTACACATGTTGGTGTGTACATATCATCATTCTAATTCATATGTACAAACTTAACACTTGTACATATATATACACCAACACTCATACGTACATCAACAAACATTCATTCACGTATATACTGACACACACACACACACACACACACACACACACACACACAAACACACACACACACATAGATCAAGAGATGCATACAAACACACGTGACAGAGACGAGGTAAACACCGTACACGGCCAAGGCGTTTTGGTTTGATTATTTTGCATTAGTAATGTGATCTTTTATGAGGAACGTCCCCCCTCCTAGATGTATGACCCCCAGACCCTCACCTGGTCAATAATTACCTCATTACCTGTACAATCACCGCCGTTCTGTACATCACGATCACTACACCTGGCTTGGGAGATTATTCACGTACATAGAGGTAGTGTACAAGGGGAGAAAGTCATGTACTCTACAACGGAGGAACTAGACTAGAGTGTATTTATATAATAATAATAATAATAATAATAATAATAATAATAATAATACATATTAAATTCAGATCACTGGCTCCATATACCTCATGAAAGAAAGAGAGTTATCTACTCTCTCACTATCACCACGCTACCGCCCTCACTCAAGACTGTTATCTGTCATCTTACAGAATTCTTAAAACATCTTTATTTTGTTTTTAGATAATCGACGCCGGTGACTGTTAACTGTACCTGTATCCCTGCAACTGTAACACCTGTACCTGTATCCCTGCAGCTGTAACACCTGTACCTGTATCCCTGCACCTGTAACACCTGTACCTGT